TGGAGGTTACAGCAAATTCATGTTGCAAATACAATCTAGCACATATGCAGAGATTTTGCTGTATTAAAATGAATATAATAGAAAACAGAGGAAATTGTTATAGCCCTGGATTTACTGTGAGATCAGGCCAGAATTTCTTTGTCTTGTTTTAAGTAACTTTCTTCTACAAGAAAATATATACATAGTAATGAATTCAGGTAGAAAGTGAATATTATTTTGAGAAGAGGAGCATATCTGAGGCATTTAATTATTCTTATTTTTCTGCCTCAGAAAGGAATTAGGAAAAAAGAAGATAAAAATATACCTCGCAGTAATTTAATAATATATCTTAGTGTAGGCATTGAAGGAATCGACCGTTCAGCTACACTCACACAACAACTACTCACATATCAGATTAGACCTGGTTCCGTAATTCTGTTTTCTAGCATAAAGCCAGTTCCTATTTGGAATGAGGCTAAGACATTCAATCTATACTACTGTGGATGTTCAGGAGCTGGGTTTTGCTCTGCACACTGTGAAGGATCAAAAGGACGTTATTTTCTAAGTTACCAGGATATTTTTTGTTGTTCTTGATTATTTTTTTGCGCTTCAGAGAAGTGACTCTTGTCCTAGAGGACTACCAAACTGATACTATCATGTGAACATCCTTCCTGTTTTAAATAAACACACTGAATGTTGATCACTGTGCAAAACCAGATGTCTTGAGTCATGCTTTATAAATTTTAAAGGGTTCTGCCTTTAATAGGGTGGACTTCTATAGTCTGTGTTAATTTATGGCTTAACTAGCAGACTGAACAAATACACGTTAAAAAAAGATAATTTGTTTTCTTAATATTACAAATCCAGCCTCAGTTGTGGAGGTTTTGCTCTTGTTTTTTTCCTAGCTTGCATATTTTCTATTCTAAAAAAGAAGTATTGATTGTACGAATAAAATTCATCTTACTCTTCCATAGGTTATTGACTCTTCAGTGAGTAGGGGGTAAAATGTGGTAATGTACGCATGTCATTTTTAATTGAGTAAATACTCAAGAGTATGATTTTATGAAAAAAGGAATTTTGCTGATTAAAAAGCACCATATACTCATTTTTTGGACAAGGCTTTCAACAGAAGAGAACTGGAGTGGCAAAATATCAGTGGATAAGTGTGTACAACAGGATGTGCAGCATATTCTTTCCAAAGTAAAAGGTAACTTGCTGTGTTCTCTGCAACATTTTCTTCTGCCTTGGTGCATATCTGCAGATGTATGACAGAAGGATGTAAGTAGTGGGAAACTCCTCTTGTGCAGACCCTTTCTTGCTGTCACTCAGTTTATATAATTTTTTCTAAAGAAAATAAGGAGACAATAGTGATACAAAATCCATTATAGGTCTAACTGAACCATGAGGTTTAAGTTGGTAAACACAAGATTGTTTTGTTTTGCTCTACAGCATAAGGTAATTTGAGTTGGATGCATGGTTATGTAGACTAAGATCCTCAAAAGCAGTTCTCTCAAGCTTTCAGTCCATTTATACATGCAGAACAGTGGCGGCTTCTCTAAGAGCATAAAAAGTAGAAAGAGAAGGAAAGCAATGTACCCAAGTACGTCTTACATTTTTCCCTAGAGGTCTGTGCTAGCAAACCAAATAAACTGGTTTTGGGAATGAGGCTGCAGTTTTCCAGAACTGAAAAAGAACCGTGCCAAACTGGCAAAATGCAAAGCATTTCTGATTTGTGGTGGTTCCAAGGCAGCAGACAATGAATTATCAGTTAAAAGTGAGGGTGTAAAATCAAATTCAGTGGGGAGCAAAGGGGATCATGATGGCACGTAAGAAATGGCATCTTTCCTTATGCATGTAAAATCTGTGCAAGTGGGTTTTGTGGTGTGTGGTTTGGGGTGGTTCATTTTGTGGGTTTGGGGTTTGGTTTTGTTTTGTGGAGAGTAGCTTAACACAGAAGATATGTTGAATAATAAGGATTTGCTTGGTTGTTTTATTTGAATTTGTTTGGAAAATATCTGCAAAGTAGGGAGATGAATGCAACTGAGCAGATGAGACTTAGTTGCTGGGACTCTTTAACTCTTTATTTACGTTTCTTAAAAAGAGAGGAAATCTGGAAAGTAGCCGTTTTGGAAACTCTTTTAAAAGAGTTTAAAAGGAAGAGGATTAGCTGGATAAAATAGCAAATATAGGGAACATGGACTGCTTGTTCAGGAAGGCTGGAAAGAAAAGAAGGGAAAGAAGATGGCAATACCAGATGGGAGAGATTCTCAGTGATAGTATCTCATATATTTAGTCTTTTAAATGAGTGGGTATCCTCAATCTCTTCTTTGTGTATTTTCTTCCTATTTTGATTCTTTCAAAATGAATTTTTGTTTATGTATCTTCCGTTCAGATTTACTTACACTAGAAGATTTTTCAAAGTGCCTAAGTTCTCAATTTGTGTCAAACTCCAGGTTATGAAACAAGAAACATTTTGTTTCTGAAGATTAGGATCTTAGTTCTGAAGATTAGGATCAGAAGTTTACTCGGAGCCAGTGATGCAACAGTAAATTATGTTTAAGCTTTCCCAGCTGAGTGACATTTTTATAGGAAGTATGCAGTTGCATTAACTTCCACATGTAGCCCTTTCCTGGTCTCTAGGCACCATTTTCTACAGTGAATTAGAGAAATCCAGAAGATAAATGGCAAATTTGTGTATCATCATAAGTAAAGCCTTCAGCTAAGAGAATATCTTTTCAATAATAATAATAATAAAAAAGCTGTGTCTGGAAACCAATGCTAAATGGAGATTTCCGTTTAGTAAAGAGTAAATCAATATGCCTGGACCTGTGCACAGGTTTGAAGAATAGTGCATGCAAAGTCTGGAAACAGGTGGGGAGTGTACCATTATTTTTTTTAAATCACTTCTCTCAGATGACTTCTGCTGCTAAAGTTTTACCACTTGTGGTGGATACCACTTCATGCCAAAGATCTGATCTTGTATTGCTGGCCATGTCTCGGTTTGAAAAATGAAATACATAGTTGAGCATTACTAGCGTGATGGTCTTACTAGAGCCTTTGTCGTCAATTATTGTTCTCTTTATCTCTCGTGTAAACTGAAGAATAAGGAGGCTGAAATCAATAGCTCCAGAAAAAATAGAATAGTAACCAGTCTCTTGTATATTTGGTGGAGAGAGATGATAAGACCAAAATGATACTGTCATTTCTCCTCCCTCTGTTCTAAACTGTTGCATTAGTACTATGTTTTGCTGTGCCAGAAATTACCAAGGAGACTGCTCAAATGAACAGAAAGAACAAGAACTTAATTCCACTTTATCTTTTTCTCCTTGCTGAAAGCACTGACAAAGTAGTAGCCCTTGTCTTTCATTGATAGATAGCTGTACTCCTCCTATAGCTTGAGTTTATATTTGAACTGCGATCTTTTACATCTTTACAGCACTGCATTGCAGTGGTGTAGGTAATGCACAGGCAATGCAAGTGTGCCACAGTCCTTTGGCCAGAAGGGCCCTGGTGCCAAGCAGGAAAGAAAGTGGGAGCGAGCACTGGTATTTGTCTGAATTGCCTTGACTGCTGAAGACGTCAAATATACCCAGATTTACTTATGTCTTCTTTTGTTTTCTTTTGTTTGTCTGCTGCTTTTTACAGTTGCCTCGAAAGGCTGCTCAAATAAACAGAGACTCATTCTTATTGTTCGCAGGTTTCCAACCTGTACCTGTACGACAGTGTGCTCATGCTGGCCAATGCTTTCCACAGAAAACTGGAGGACAGGAAATGGCACAGCATGGCAAGTCTGAACTGCATGAGGAAATCCACCAAGCCTTGGAACGGAGGACGATCCATGCTAGAGACTATTAAGAAGGTGAGAATAGACAAACCGCAATTGTGTGAGCAATTGAAAGAGTTGCTTCCTTCTTACTTGAGATTAGCTTTTGAAGAGGTATGTGACCTCTATTCGACTTTTCTTTGATTTATTGCAAGTGATTTACAACTACCAGGCATGATATACAGCTATTAAAAAAGCAAATGATTTATTACAAACAAATTACACACACTGCAGTGTTGCTTCAGTGGTGCGTGTTCTACTCCTGTTGTTCTCATAGCTACCTTCTGTGGAGGTAGTGTGATTAGGAAGTCATACATTGACATGTGCGTGCATCATAATAATTTCCCAAGAGAAGAAATAAAGGAGCTCAAGGCACCAATGAACGATAAGGTTTAAGACTTAAGTTCCACTTACTACAGCTCAACTAGCTTCATAAGTTAGCTGAGCATTGGTAAGTATTTGTATAAGTATTTGTGGCCACAGCAAAAGAGATCTGATTTAGCTAAGTTGTCGCTTATATTTACACTGTCTTGCAGCATGTTGAATTACTCAGATATGGACTGTGGCTTTGCAGATGCATGGTAACTTCTTGTATGAAAGTTATTTGATCGCAAATACTAGTGGAAAAAAATACTAATTTTTACTATACTAACTTTAGCAATTATTCAGAAAAAAAAGCCCTGTTTCCCCATATATATTGATGGTTTTCCTTTAGTAAAATGATGCAGTTCGATCAAGTGTTATGTTACACTCTGATCAGTCCTAATAACGCCATCCTTTGTTGCCAATTCAAACTTTAGTGTCATTTCAAGCTTCTTTGCTACAAACCACAAATCAAACTCTGTGATACTTTCACAGAGAGGTTTTCATAATACTTAAAACTTTATCTTTTCTTCATGCCTCTCTTGGGAGCACAGCAGGCATACACTCTATCTTTTGGAGTTGGAGTTCATGCCTTTGTATTCGACCCCAGGATTGAACCTGTTGCCCTCAGTTACCCCAAAAGGGCTGTCGCCTCAGGGTCCACCAAACTCCTCCTTTTCTTTGGGGTCTATCTCTGTGAACTTTGAAGACCTGAGATCTGATGTTTTTCTTTTTCCACACAGTGGATATGTTAATGCTAAAGTAATTTTCTAAAAAAAAAAAAAAAAAAAAGCTTTTGTCTGGCACTATGTTTGAGCTATTGGACATGTAATTGCCACATTTAAATTCACTGTAAACAATTTCAAAGCAGATTTGGCATACCTTTAATGAAGAGGAGTGTTTATAAAGACAAATTTGTTCTATTCTGAAATTTCTGAAATTTGTTTCTTTAGGGCCATATAACTGGGCTTACTGGTGTTATGGAGTTCAGAGAAGATGGCGCCAACCCCTATGTTCAATTTGAAATACTGGGCACTAGCTACAGCGAAACATTTGGCAAAGATGTGCGGAGGGTAAAGATATGCTGCTTCTTTCTCTCTTTTGTTTTCCTCTAAATGATATACTTTCTACTTCACAGGAGAAAATGTAATTCTTTAGGAATGAATTAGTGCTACACTGCAGAAGAAATTTACTGTAAGAAAAATATTTTCTAATACCTTACACACTTAAATCTTGAAATCTAATTTTATATTGGTAGGCAGGAGTCCTAGCAAGGCAAATTGTTTCCATATGTGTGGTAACGATGCAGTGCCATAATGATACTGTGGACATAAATAGTGAAGGCTGCACAATTCTGCTCATGTACTTTATTGTTAATTAAGATATAATTGATGTAACTGGCACTTGTCTTAGTAAGGAAGCTAACTGAGAATATAAATTACCTAAAGACACAAGATGTTTCAAAGTATACCTGCTGCAAGAATTTGAGATAAATAAATAAAACCTCTAGAGAAGGTAATTTCCAAAATGGATGATGCTATATTGTGTAAAGTAAAAGATGACCTATCAATGGTAGCTTGTGGAACAAGGACTGATGGGGATTAGAAGGCATTTAGAGTGGCTCCATGGGGTTACTAACGTAAATTGTCATGGGCTGAGAAGGCAAGTAGGAACATGTTAATGCAGAGGGTATGCTCGGAAAATACCTGAAACTCTCAACTGAACAGGGAGATTCCCATTGGAACCCAAGCTACGAAATGTCCCTAAACTGGTCAACTGGTTGAAATACAGGCATTGCCACTGTATGGTCAGTGGGTCCTACATTAAGCAGAGCTGAACAAAGAGGATTCCATGAAGAATTAAAATTTATGACATTTTCTGTTTTCATTTGACCATTGGTTTCTGTGTTTGTTTTGATTCACCTGAATTACATGACCCTAAATGGAACAAACAAGCAAATAAGTTGTGTTTACATTATCATCTTAAACAGCTAAACCTGAGATTCTTTCAGAGTCTAGATTGGTACGAGGATTCTGGACAGGGAGCCAAAGGCTTGCAATATCTGTTAGAATTCAACAGAAGGAAGAGAAGTATTTGAAATGCATAAAGCACCAGGAGATATAATTGAAAAACTTCTGTTGAGAAAAAATGTCTCTGAAGACTTCAGACTGGCTAGGCACCCTCCTGTATTGTAACGGTCAGAAAAGGCTATTTCTCAGTCCACTTTCATTTCTAGAAGATTTCTACTGCAAATGAGGAACTCTAACTTCCAAACGCTACCTGAATGATGAAAAATTATCTAATTTTGGAAACAGTGTTGCCTATTTAAGAGAACAGAGTTGGCTTAGGAGGTCTGGGAAGCCATTCAGGTTCATAAACAGAAGTATGAACCTCCCTTTACGCAGAAGTATGCAAACCAGAAGTGTCCGATGCCATGTGAGATGCTGTGGACTGTGTGTTTCCTGCTGTGTTTCTAGCTGCCACTACAGAAAGCATGAGTGTCCTGTCAGTGCTCTGTTATCCCTAGCAGATGGATGCCATGGGGCGTTGGAGTTTGGTTCCATTTTGTTACAGAATTCCCAGGTGACTTTGAATAAGTCACGTAATCGCTTTATGCTTCAATTTACCTTTCAGTAAAATTGCTATCATCACACTCAAAACAGGTTTGAGGCCTTAAAGGGAAATTAAGATGTGTGAATATACATTAGTACTTTTTTTTTCTAATGTACATTTCAAATATGGTAACACATGTACAAAAGCTCTCATTTCAGTATGTGTAGCACACTGACCAAATTGAGATATCATCCACATGTGTGAAGTGGAGACAGCTAAAATGTCAATCAAAAGCTACAACAGGGCAAAAAAAATAGGTAAAATTGCTAAAACGGTTAAACTGATAACTACTGATCACTTTTGATCCCTAATATGTTACTTTAGGATTAGTTGGTTAATGTAGAATGGCTTAACTTTTTGGATGTTTAATGCAGAACATTATACAGTTCCCAAAATGAAAGGGAATATAATTCTAAATGGGTAAAAAGTTACTGGCTTTGGAATACTTCTCCCACCTAAAAGCAAGTTCTGAAAATTATCTTTTTAGCTTAATATAGAGAGAGAGTAAAAAGTCAGTAATATGCTAGAGAAGTCTATAGAAGAACTTGGAAGAGATGATATTTCTTAGAGCAAAATTACCATGGAACTACTGGTATTCAATTATTTGGACAGCCTGACTTTTTATTATTGCAGCAAAAATATGTTACAGCTCAGAAGTACTTTTAAAAGCCCAGGAAGTCATGCTTGTCTCATTCATATTACTTGAGTGAGAGATCAATTCTGATTTATTGTCAGTTGTTTCCATACCAGCCTTTCCTCAGGTCTAGCTGTGGAGGAACGCATTTGTGGTGAAAAACAGAGGGTTGGTTCTGCATGGTTTTCTTTTCCTCTATATGGAGAGCATCTGGAGCTATTCACCCCTGCCCTGCCCCTACAAAAAACCTTTGCACTTAGGTTCTGTGACAAAGTAGGGCAAAGAAGTACAACATTGAGTGTTGAGCCTTACAGGGAATCCAGTCAAAAGCTAGTGGACTTTTAATACTCAACGTCCCTTAGAAAGTTTCTTGGAGATCATTTCCACCAGAAAGACTCCTAGGAGGACATCCAAGACAGTAACCCAAATCTGGCAGGAATTTTCAGGGCCTTTCTGTAGAGGCATCTTGACTCTTCCCAGTCTGGTCTTTCTGCAGACAATTGTTCCTTCCACTAGCTGTGATTGAGTTAGGAGTGCAAGTCAATATATATTTGCTCGCTTAGTGTATACCTTCTCCTTTATTCCACAAGTCTAACACCATATTTTTGTGGTAAAGGCTGATAGTGGATTTTGTGGATTTTGTGTGTGTGTTTTCTTCTTCCTTTGTTTGGGCATACTTTAGTGAAAGGGAAACTTTGGAAAATGTTCTCATTTCTTCGGTTTAAACATAAAAGAACAGGGCATGTCCCTTAAGCTATACCACCTTGCTTTACAAAAGGCTCAGGTGATTGCCTTCTTTTGACTGTGTGCATGTGGAGGTTGAGAAAGCATGGTGCGTTCATGCTTAAAAATAAAAGCGATCAGTGTGGTGACTTATCAGGGCATTTGAAAGCTGAAGGATAAAATTGTCAGAGAAACTGAAAAGGCTTAAATGCCTGGTGCTTGACGATTGCCAGCGTGATTTATGTTCCTAAGGTCTGTAAACACCTTTAAAAATAGCAACCTGAGCATCTGTATATTTAAAAAAAAAGAAAGGAAAAGAACAGGATATAAAGAGGGTGTGTGTATGCATCAAATTCGGCACCTGCCTTAACTTCTGGAATTACTGAGTTACTCACCAGTGAATGGTCTTCCTCTGAATTTAGAGTTACCAGCATGCTTCTTTCTTTTTTCTTCTCTTTTAAATTCTTATTTATTAGTCCTTTATGAATATTTTTTTTTACCTACATGGATGCGTAAAGCCTCTCTTGTATATTTACATTTTTATGTCTTCTACCTTAAGCTTCCTGAGCCTGTGGTTCATTCCCAGCACTGGCAGTGGCTGGGAGCGATCGGGACATCATTTTGCTTCATTGGCTCACTGTCCCCATCTGTAGCATGGAGTTGAGGGTACTTGCCTGCTTTGTACAAAGTTTTAAAGTCTGATAGAAAAAAAAAAAAAGGCTCTAGCAAAAACATTTAGCTGTTAATATTAAGAAATTGAATGAATCATAGTATTAAAACCTGTGTAGTCCTAGTTGTATGAGACCATTGCTTCAGAGCCTGTTTGGAATTTTCAGTGGAGAACTATATCCCACTTCCACAGTACAAAGGACATGAAATGGGAAAGGTGGTCCGGACTATGTTAATTTCCTCCTTATTGACCATCTATATTATTAGTTCTTATTAATGAAAGCCTTGCTGCAACTTTCAAAACATCTAAGCTGGTTCATATTATGTTTCTGCACTTGAGTAGATTCCACACAATATAATAGTTCAATGATCCAGCTGTGAGAGCAAAAATAAGGGAGTCAGGACTCCAGGGTGGTATTCCTAGCAGCTCTATAACTCAAGGGAGCTCTTGAGGTGTAAACCTATTTGTTCTCGCTTGCCTATGTACGCAGGGAATATCGCAACAGCTAACTGCCCTTGTAGGGATGGGATTAGGCTTAGTTAGATAATGCCTGTAAGGAGCTTTATGATTATCTTCATCCTTGCCAGGAAGATCTTCTGTAAGAGTGAAATGATATTGTTATTTAGTTTATTTTATGACAGGGATCATATTTTTTTATAAAGCAATCTGCAATCCTTTCCCAAGCTTGCTGTAATGAGGACTTAATTAATGGTTTACACACATACTGTATTTCATAAGAAACATTCTGTTCAAAATGATAATGTTTACCATTGGTTATTCATTTCTATCAGTTGGTATGTTTTCATTTTTTTAAATTAGATTTTCTTGAAATATCATCTGTTTCATGAAAAGTCATACTTGTTTCCTCCAGCACTTCTGAGGCAGATTGCAAAAGTCACTGTAAGTAGCTTTGTGATATGTTTCACAGTTGTTGAAACCCCATTTTTGAAGTCTGATACAGTGCTTTAATTGGGATCATTACTTTTAGACAGAATCTCATCATCATCATCATGAGAAATCCTATGCTTCTTATTCAATGCAAAAAGGAACTGTATTTTTAGGGGTCTCTAATATTAAGTGAATATTGCAGTCACATCACATGCTGCTAAAAGATATATCCTGAAGAGAATGATTTTAGGTGGTTACTACTGTAATTGAATCAGTTTTACTCATATGGAAAAATGCATAACTAAATTGCCTGACTTTAGCTGTAAAACAGATGCCTGCCTCCTGCTTGAGCACTTCATAAACACACACTTGGGTATAGTAATTTGGTTTAATCTGTGTTGGCAAGGTATCTTTCAGCTGAAATGTAAGACTGAAGTCTTGGCGACTTGTGATGACTGAAGATCCCCTGTTACCTTGCAAAGGGAAGGGCTAATAGCCCTCTCATTCTGGATAAAATACGGTTTCCACATAGTTACATTTGGGTT